GTGTGTGGACCAGTATTGTACCGGTAGTGTGTGGACTACTATTGTACTGGGAGTGTGTGGAGTAGTACTGTGCTGGTAGTGTGGACCAGTACTGTACTGGTAGTGGGTTGACCAGTATTGTACTGGCAGTGTGTGTGGAGTAGTACTGTACTGGTACTGTGTGGACCAGGACTGTACTGGTAGTGAGTGAACCAGTACTGTACCGGTAGTGTGTTGAGTAGTCCTGTACTGGGAGTGTGTGGACCAGAACTGTACTGGTAGTGTGTGACAGTACTGTCCCGGTAGTGTGGACTACTATTGTAATGGGGAGTGTGTGGAGTAGTACTGTACTGGTTGTGTGTGACAGTACCGGCTGGCAGTGTGTGTGGACCAGTACTGTACTGGTAGTGTGTGGACCAGTGTTGTACTGGTAGTGTGTGGACCAGTACTGTACTGTGTGTGTGTGGACCAGCACTGTACTTGTAGTGTCTGGACCAGTACTGTATCGGTAGTGTGTGGACTACTATTAACAGAGTGTGTGTGGGAGTAGTACTGCACTGGTTGTGACCGGTACTGTACTGGTAGCGTGTGACCAGTACTGTACTAGTAGTGTGGACCAGTACTGTCATGGTATTGTGTGACCAGTATTGTACTAGTAGTGTGTGGACCAGTACTGTACTGGGAGTGTATGGAGTAGTACTGTACTGGTTGTGTGTGGACCAGTACTGTACTGGTAGTGGGTGGACCATTACTGTACTGGCAGTGTGTGTGGAGTAGTACTGTACTGGTAGTGTGTGGACCAGTACTGTACTGGTAGTGTGTGTGTGGAGTAGTACTGTACTGGTAGTGTGTGGAGTAGTACTGTTCTGGTTGTGTGACCAGTACTGTACTGGTAGTGGGTGGACCATTACTGTACTGGCAGTGTGTGTGAGTAGTACTGTACTGGTAGTGGTGACTGGTGAAGTACTGGTAGTGTGTGAACCAGTACTGTACCGGTAGTGTGTGAACCAGTACTGTACCGGTAGTGTGTGGACTACTATTGTACTGGGATTGTGGAGTAGTGGTACTGGTGGTGTGGACCAGAACTGTATTGGTAGTGTGTTGACCAGTACTGTACCGGTAGTGTGTGGACTAGTATTGTACTGGTAGTGTGTGGAGTAGTACTGTACTGGTAGTGTGTGGACCAGTACTGTGCTGATAATGTGTGGACCAGTACTGTACTGGTAGTGTGTGGACCAGTACTGTACTGGTAGTCGGTGTGGACCAGTACTGTACTGGTAGTGTGTGGACCAGTACTGTACCGGTAGTGTGTGGACTACTATTGTACTAGGGAGGTGTGGAGTAGTACTGTACTGGTAGTGTGTGTGACCAGTACTGTGCTGATAATGTGTGGACTAGTACTGTACTAGTGTGACCAGTACTGTACTGTAGGTGGACCAGCACTGTACTGGTAGTGTGTGGACCAGTACTGTACCGGTAGTGTGTGGACTACTATTGTACTAGGAGTGTGTGGAGTAGTACTGTACTGGTTGTGTGTGAACCAGTACTGTACTGTTAGTGTGTGGGCTACTATTGTACTGGGAGTGTGTGGAGTAGTACTGTACTGGTAGTGTGTGGACCAGTACTGTACTGGTAGTGTGTGGACCAGTACTGTACTGGTAGTGTGTGTGTGACCAGACTGTACTGGATTTGTGACCAGTACTGTACTGGTAGTGTGTGACTATTACTGTACCGGTCGTGGGACCAGTACTGTACTGGTAGTGTGTGTGGAGTAGTACTTTACTGGTAGTGTGTGGAGTAGTTCTGTACTGGTAGTTTGTGACCAGTTCTGTACTGGTAGTGTGTGGACCAGTACTATACTGGTAGTATGTGACCAGTACTGTACCGGTAGTGTGTGGAGTAGTACTGTACTGGTAGTGTGTGGACCAGTACTGTACTGTTAGTGTGTGGACCAGTACTGTACTGGTAGTGTATGGACCAGTTCTATACTGGTAGTGTGTGGACCAGTACTGTACTGGTAGTGTGTGTGTGGACCAGTACTGTACTGGTAGTGTGTGGACCAGTACTATACTGGTAGTATGTGACCAGTACTGTACTGGTAGTATGTGGACCAGTACTGTACTGGTAGTGTGTGGACCAGTTCTATACTGGTAGTGTGTGGAGTCGTACTGTACTGTTAGTGTGTGGACCAGTTCTGTACTGGTAGTGTGGACCAGTACTGTACTGTTGGTGTGTGGACCAGTTCTGTACTGGTAGTGTGTGGACCAGTTCTATACTGGTAGTGTGTGGAGTCGTACTGTACTGTTAGTGTGTGACCAGTTCTGTACTGGTAGCGTGTGGAATAGTACTGTACTGGTAGTGTGTGACCAGTACTGTACTGGTCGTGTGTGTAGTATTACTGTACTGGTAGTGTGTGTGTGGACCAGTTCTGTACTGGTAGTGTGTGGACCAGTACTATACTGGTAGTGTGTGGAGTCGTACTGTACTGTTAGTGTGTGGACCAGTTCTGTACTGGTAGTGTGTGGACCAGTACTATACTGGTAGTGTGTGGAGTCGTACTGTACTGTTAGTGTGTGGACCAGTTCTGTACTGGTAGTGTGTGGACCAGTACTATACTGGTAGTGTGTGGAGTCGTACTGTACTGTTAGTGTGTGGACCAGTTCTATACTGGTAGTGTGTGGAGTAGTACTGTACTGGTAGTGTGTGGACCAGTACTGTACTGTTAGTGTGGACCAGTCCTATACTGGTAGTGTGTGGAGTAGTCCTGTACTGGTAGGTATGTGGACCAGTACCGTACTGGTCGTGTGGCAGTACCACTGGTAGTGTGTGGACCAGTACTGTACTGTACTGGTAGTGTGTGGACCAGTACTGTTCTGGTAGTGTGTGGACCAGTACTGTACTGGTAGGACCAGTACTGTACCGGTAGTGTGTGGACTACCATTGTACCAGGATGAGTAGTATTGCACTGGTGGTGTGTGGACCAGTACTGTACTGGTAGTGTGTGGACCAGTACTGTACTGGTAGTGCGTGGACCAGAACTGAACTGGTAGTGTGTGGACCAGTACTGTACTGGTAGTGTGTGGACCAGTACTGTCTTGGTAGCGTCTGGACCATTACTGTACTGGTAGTGTGTGGACCAGTACTGTACTGGTAGTGTGTGGACTATTACTGTACCGGTAGTGTGTAGACCAGTACTGTACTGGTAGTGTGTGTGGAGTAGTACTCCACTGGTAGTGTGTGGAGTAGTTCTGTACTGGTAGTTTGTGAACCAGTTCTGTACTGGTAGTGTGTGGACCAGTACTATACTGGTAGCGTGTGGTTGATTTTTTATTTTGCCGCTTACAGCGGCTACTTTATTGTGCACCCCACACTCATCCTGTGAGCGGTAGCGCAAAAGGATTACAGAGTAGAGTTTACAAAGGGTCATAATAATTAACCTCCGTTGTCAGGATATTATGGCACTGAATGTTACACAGTATTTCATTTACATTATTTGTTTAGTTCTATACATAAAGGGTAACTTATTCACAAATGCGTGAGTACAGGCGTGTGAGGCAGTATGTCTGGCCGCACACTTTGTTATTCACATTTACGTGGGAGGTATTCAAGCACATTGCGTATTTGGTTTTGTACATGAGAATTGATATAGTTACTAAGAGCAAAAAAGTGGATACAATCTGAATGTGTCGGCTATCTTGCCACTAGAGATGAAGTGTTGTGCATTTCACACACAGTGTGCTTGGACCTGTCCCTAAAAGGTTCTATCTTCACACAGTCGAGGACGTAGTGTTCAAGTGTGTGGCCATATGTATGGCCACACACTTTACATATAGTTTTTTTTTACATCTGCTTGAGGAATATACTGCCAAAGGTACTTGTATCCTAACCTTAATCTAGCGGTTACAACATCTTGTAATCTAGTGATCTTGTTACTTGCTCCATATCCATGTTTCACTTGATACATCTCATCATGGTAACCTATGGATCGACTAGTGCCTGTTTGCACTTGTCTACTTGCGTCAAACTCATCAATAAGTTCTTTCCTAATTACAGTTTTAAGGGTTCTTTTGACAGACCCAAATTGTATTCAACGGTGTCTTTGTTAGACGCGAGTTTGGCGAGGGCATCAACTCTGTCATGTTTTATGAGGCCTATGTGAGAGGGGATCCACAACAGTTTGACCTTGACACCCCGGTCAACAAGGCACGCATATTTGTGTCTGGCTTCAGAGACAAGAGCGTGACAACCTGAGTCGAGGGTGCCAAGGGTAAGTAGTGAGGATAGAGAGTCAGTGATGATGAGACTGTCCGTAACAGTGGTTTCAATGAATTTAATAGCTGTGAGTATGGCAACTAATTCAGTTTGTAGAGTGAATGCCCGGTTGTTAATTCTAACTCCTTTCTCAATTATATTACCGTCAGGTTGAGTCACACAATAGCACTTCCAGCCCTCCCATAGGCGGTGTTAAGAGATCCATCAGTGTAGATGGTCTGTGTGATATTATCATCAGTCTGTAGAGTGTGTATGTGTTCAAGAGCTCTAACTTTGGCAGTGTGTTGGAGATAAATGCTTTGTATAATTAATTTTTTAGGTGGATACGTCGGCATTGTGATATCGAAGGGAACTGTTCGCCAGGGTGGCAGGAAGCGCTGTTGTGTCTCAACTTTGTATAGGTGGTCTAGTCCAAACATCTTCATATGTGTAGCTGTAGTTTGGATCCATTTAGACTCAGTAGCCCCATGGTTCATACATTCTAGCAATTTTAAGGAAACAATGTTGTCAGGATCACCACGCAGAAGCCTCAGGGCTATCATGAGGTTGACTTCAATTATTCTATCTTTGACACTGGGTATACCTAGTTCTTTTCTCATATTAAGTACTTTAGTGTGTGGAGTAGTACTGTACTGGTAGTGTGTGGACCAGTACTGTACTGGTCGTGTGTGTAGTAGTACTGTACTGGTAGTGTGTGTGTGGACCAGTTCTGTACCTATGGACTGTCACACCAGGTGATAATCTCTTACCTGTACGTCCAGACACTGTCGGTGGATGTCAGCTAGGATGGCGAGGCAACGAGCATGAGTTGGTCTGTCGCCAGCTGTGAGGGCCATTTTCAGTGCGTCCTGCAATACAGGGTAAACACACTAAAAGTGATAAGTTTTGGGTGCTTTTCACTAAAATACATGGATGTAATAAATAGTGATGTATTGCCACTGTTCAACCATAATGCGAGCTATGCATAAAAATTGCCACATATAATTTACTGGAAGATTTAAACAAAATCATCAAAAAATGATCCAATAGCATTGTCGAATCTACGAATCTAAACTCAATAACGTATTTCTCATGGAAGCTATAAGGTTTAGTTCGTGTAAAAAAACACGCACTGAACATTTAAAGAGACAACAAAAACGGACTTGGTGAAGATGTTGGGTTGTATAACGAACACTGGCCTTCACCCGACCTCTGCTAGTACAACACTATACCTGTATGAACACATTTGGCTCAACAAGTCACCATCATTTTAAAACACTTTAGCATTCTACTGTCGACTTGCTGATGACTCCTTCCATCTTAAAGGCCAGCAGCATGTACAAATTGGACAATTTTGTGATTAACAAGATTTGTGACCAGGTGAAAGAGTTGGGTTACTAACTTATGACCTGAATATGGTGGACACCTGCTGTCCCCTGGGACTTGATCTCACTCTCCTTTACTGTATAATAATAGCAATGTCAATAACCACTCCTGAGTTTGTACTCTGTATTCAGGAAACGAACCTGTGAACTCTGCGTGTGAACAAGGATCACTGCCACGGCACCACAAGGAATTATAAAAGTGATCCTATGCTTAGTTTTATTGCATTTCACACAAAGCCTGCTCAGTCTTTTATATCTTAAACAACGTGAGCCCTTGCGGTGCTGTGTTAGCGATGACTGTTTTTATACAGAGGTCCCGGGATTGATTTCTGACTAGTGAGGTATTGTTTATATTTTGAAGTCTTACAGTGTTAATGCAATCATCCAGGCCAGTCTTGAGACAGTCATCCAGGTCAGTTTTGACACAGTCATCCAGTCAGTATTGACACAGTCATCCAGGTCAGTGTTGCCATAGTCATCCAGGACAGTGTTAACACAGTCATCCATCTCAGTGTTGACTCAGTCATACAGTCAACACTGACCTTGTTAGAGGAAAGGCCACGGCCGACTTAGCTACCGGGGATTAATTGTCAGTAATGGCTAGTGTTTGGTGTAAGCAGGTCTGTGCCTTTCTGAGGGCCGGGGACGAAAACTTGAAATTAAAGGAAGTGACTGTGAGGATGAAGGAGGAAGATACGAGACAAGGAAAGCCCGTGTATGACGAAGGCACAAGGGGAATGGAAGGTTGTGAGCAGAGCCATCCCTAGGGGTCTGCGGGGCCCGGGGCAATTCATCCACTGCGGGGCCCCTTTGCAGGTTAAAATTTATTTATACTTTTATAGTTACATACAGTACATACTGGAATATACATATTGTTAATTCCCCGATCATACTATTACTATGCAAAGTATTATGTAATTTAATATGTTACAACACCTTTCATATATTTCCCCATTTGTCAATCTTCGCATGTAAAAGTCTTCTGAAAAGTGACAATTTTCAAAATTTTTTGGAAACATAATTTTCACTAAATACCCTAACAGGTCCCTTTTCTACCAACATATCAATTGTCGTAATGTCCAGTAAATGTGGCCAGTTGGCTGGATCACATAGATCTTCATCAGCATGCCCGCTGTCCATTTTAAAAGCCTTAGTATTTTTTTCAGTACTCCTCTTCCTCAGCTTGAATATGACCCACACTATCACCATCACAGTCGCTCAGGTCCTCAGGTCCTCTTGGAGACCTTTCATCGACATTTCGATTTCTTCTCTCTTCCTTTTTTCTGCCTTTTCTCTGCACCCGAGATGTATTTTCTGTATCTGTCTGTTTCCCTGCTGGCCATGGTATAATAAAAAAAAACGAGGGCTGTGTACGATATTAAAATAATGTATATCAACAATTTCACAAGACACAAATCACGGATAACTGGAGATTCAGAGTTTAGACAACACTGACAGGTGACCGCTGTCAACGTCCTCACTCCTCTTCGACAGAGAGCACAGTAAAGAATGATATTGTTCTCAGTCTGGGTGGTAAGATGGGGTGGCTTAATCTTACCTTTGACTTTATGTCAGCAGATGCATTGCCTAACTATGCTGGTCACTAATTCTTCAATGGTCTCCTGAATCTGGGTGGTAAGGTGAGGCCAGCTTAACGCGGTCACTAATTCTGGTGTTGGGTAAGGTAAGGGCCGTGGGGCCCCTACTAGCGCGGGGCCCAGGGCGGTCGCACTGGTTGCCATACCCTTGGGACGGCTCTGGTTGTGAGGAGAGGAACGACCTAACTGGTGGTGAGAAAAAACACGGAAACGACAACAGCTAAATGTAAAAGCTCTTTTTTACCATCGATAGACGAATTGGACGTTAGGATAGTCAGGGACAAGGCTGACAAGGAAGGTACAGAAACCTTAATTGTTGGTGATTCTCAGATACAGTATCTGTATAGAGCTTTCTGTGCTAAAAATAAAAGTAAGATGAGGGTGTATTTGCCAGGAGCTGGGGTGGGGGATATAGTTGACAGGATGGACAATATCTTGTCTGGTAATGGGAACAAACCCATTATCTGCCTCAGTGCAGGAGGCAATGATATTGGCCGGTGTAGGAGTGAGGAGCTCCTTGATAAGTTCAAGACAGCTATTGAACGTATTAGGTTGAAGGGAGGGATCCCTATTTTATGTGGTGTCCTGCCTAGAAGCAGAGTTGGCAATGAATGGTTGTCAAGGGCAGTTGGTGTCAACTGACGTCTTGACAGATATTGCAAGTCAATATCAGTCCCATTCAGTGACAATTGGGACAACTTTTATGACAAAGGGGACCTTTATGCTAGGAATGGGGTACATTTGTCTAGGGATTGGGTGGCAACCCTGGTTGGCTCTCTCGAGAAGGCAGTTCAAAAGATGTCGAAGTCTTAAAACTGCTAGGGGAACATGTGAACACGGAAATCGAGGAGACTGCAGTGGGAGTGGGTAAACAAAATGAAAATTTACAGAGAAATAGTGCTACGTGTTGTAGTAATTCCCTCACAGGTGGTGTTATATGAGTGAGGTGTCCCAGGCCTTCTTATCGTAGACGGATTAACACATCGCTGGTTGTTGTTGGGTCTCACGGACAGTTATCACTTGGTACCTGGGACTTCACTTTTTATTTTATTTTTTTATTATTTATTGGGCACTCCCCTACATCCTTGTGTAAGGTGAAGCGCAGAAGCGTTTACAGTGCCCAACAGGGAAGCATGCTAAGTTCATGCTTGCCTTTATGTCTCATGAGTTAAGGGCGTAGAAGCCTGAAGAGTCAAGGGCATAGAAGCCTGAAGAGTCAAGGGCATAGAAGCCTGAAGAGTCAATGGTTTTTATGTCATCAAGTTTTTGGAAGCTCCAACAACTTGTCCCTGAATACGAATTCGCAACTTTCGACTTACACCAGGTATCTACTTTACTGCTAGGTGAACAGGGACTAATGGGGGCTAGGAAGTAAGTCCAAACAACTTCCACCGGCCCGGGAATCGAACCCGCTTGCGAAGGCAAGAGCGGTACCACTCTACCACCAGCACCCCTTGGGACCTCACTGTGTGAAGTTTAACTTGGGTACGACCCGGCTGTTACTGTTGAGTTGTTCTCATTAACTTGAGCACTGTTCACCTCTATTCAACACTGGTTCCATTCCTTTCCTAAATTAAATTGTAACTTCTGGCGAGAACTTGTTGATATTCCAGTGGGGAGAAGGGTTCAGGGGAGGGAGTTGGCATGGGCCAACTTATCGCTCCTAGAGGAGCGCCAGATATGTCTTGACCCTTCGGTGGTCAAGGATGTAGATCACGACTAACTTAAATGTCTACTACGCAAACAATAGAAGTATGGGATACAAAATGATGAAATCAGGGCGCTGTTATGTACCGAGAAAATCGATATAGCAGCATTCACCGAAACATGGATAAACTTTGACTCACGTGAGTTACCTGTCGAATACCAAATTACAGGTTACAAATTATTCCATACCGATAGGCAGATTAGGATTATCAGGGGTTAAGAAGGTACCTAGGTGAGGTCACCTGGGAACAGTCACGTCAGTTCCCAGTAGGAAGGGGTGAGGTCATAGATGACACAACAATTGATCATGACTATAATATATTCACTAGTATACTACATAAAGCAGAAGAACAAAATATACCACACAGAAAAATTAGGTCAAATAAGAATGAGCCAAGGTGGATGACCAGAAAACTTAAACATGACATAGGAATAAAGAAAGGAATATATATGAAATTAAAGGGAGGGGAGGAGCAGCTCAGAAACAGGTATAATGAACTATCTAGGAATGTTAAGAAAAATGTAAGGAAAGCAAAGAGAGACTATGAAATCAAAATAGCAAGAGAATCCAAGGCGAATCCCAAGGGATTTGTCCAGGTATATAGGACAAAGGTCAAGGACAAAGTTGGGCCTTTAAAGTCAGGGAGGGGAGAATTGATAAATGGCAGTGAAGAAATAAGCAAAGCATTGAACAACTACTTATCAGTTTTCACAGAAGAAATTTGAGATGAAATTCCGGAGGTGGAACTGATATTTAAGGGAAAGGAAGAAGAGAAATTAAAGAATATCACTATCAGAAAAGAGGATGTTCTTAAGAAGATAAATAAACTAAAGAATACAAAATCCCCAGGGCCGGATGAAATTTTTCCTCGAGTCTTAAAAGAGTGTAGGGAACAGATTAGCGGACCCCTCGTAAACTTATTTACAAAATCATTAGACACTGGAGTTGTGCCAGAGTTGTGGAAACAGGCAAATGTAGTACCCATATTCAAAAAGGGAGACAGAGCATCAGCGTCAAATTACCGGCCGATCAGTTTGACGTCAGTAGTGGGGAAATTTCTTGAATCAATTATAGCAGATAGCATCCGATCGCATCTAGAGAAAAGCAAATTAATCACGACTCTCAACATGGGTTTACAAAGGGAAAATCTTGTCTAACAAATCTGCTAACGTTTTTTA